GTGCAAAAATCCAAAAAACCCATGAATTCATGATTGTTTATCATTCTTATGCTTTTCTCTGCTCCAATTGCTCCTGCAAATTCCAGCAAGAAAACAAAATGAACATTGACGCACTTAGAAATTCTTATAAATATATATGTTCGGGGACTTTGACATTATAGCGAACAAGATTTTCACTTACCCATTGTTAAAGCACTGGCAAAAATAACACCAGACAGTATAAAAACAATGATGGAAGCCCTCCTTAGAATTGTGATAAGTTTCCTTATGAAGAATTGTCCCCAGAAGCCAGCCAAAATAGACACAGTCATGAGGTATAAAGCTACAATAATAAAAAAGAAAAATGATATTCTCAGAATAATAGTATTTTTTGAGGAAATAAATGGAAAGAATACTAAAAATATAAGTACCATGGGGAATTGGAAACCTCTTGAGGAGATAAAACTCCACCACAGATAATGAAGATGAAAACATCATCACAAATGTTGCTGTTGCACTAGCTACCTGGTGGAGAAAGAACAAAAAGATATCAATTCACATTAAAAATAGTGATATTTTCAAGAAGACTATTCAGCTGCATTTACCAGTTCTGATATTGAAAGATGTTTAAAAATAGCCATAATTTTCGTTAAAATACAGTTGTAATAAAGGCAACACCAACCATGATTAATTAAATCCCTCGATGGGACCATTTAGTATTCAGTCCTACCAAATACCATAAAGTCAATCTCTAATCTAATGTTAAAATGCTAATTGTTGTCAAATAATCTATAATTGCTATTAAAATCCAACATATTTGTAATATGCGGTGAAAATTCAGGCATGCTAGCCCCCTCAAAATCCTCTCTTTTACCCTCCCATAACATGGACAGAGCAGTGTACTCTTTTAGAAGTTTGAATGCTCATAAATGGGTAAAACAACGACGACAAAACAGCTGCCGAATTGTACATTCTTCAATGCTTAATATAATTGAGGAAACTCTGCATCGTTTTTATAGCCTGTCTTAAGTCCAGGTAAAGAAAGAAAATTTCATTAAGTTGCACTTGAAAGCTTGCCTAAAATCCTGATAATATTGCTAAATATAACTAAGGTAACCAGCCATGTCTTTCATATTCGATCTCAAGACAAAGGAAAAGTGTTGCGTTAATCAGCTTAAATTGTCAAATCCTAATACACATCATTGAATATAACTGAGGTGAAGAAACAAGTAAATGAGGGTTAATATGACCATTTTACCTGAGGGATGACACCAATTTCAAGGAGTAGGGGACCAAGAACGAATCCACCACCAGAACCTAACAAACCCCCAACAGTGCCTCCTAAGATGCCACAAAGGGCACAAAATGCAAGATTTGTTACGGTCCATTCAATTGCAGCTTCACATATTGATTCTGGATTCCCTGCTTTCCTTCTTTTCTTGCTTTCCTTGTACAATTTGACACATTCATATCCAAACACAGCAAGAGCAACTGGCAACTGAAAACAAAGACAGAAGAAGTTGAAATAAATTTAATTCCCACAGCCAAACGAGCATATTTATAGACCATAAGGTGTTTGCTCGGATAATCATCAAAAAATGAAGGGAACTTTTCATTTATACACGTGACTCGACAAGGTTATATTTGAACTTATTAAACAACCCACTAACCTACGAGCTTAAACTATTAAAAGGGATTGTATGTTGA